CTACTAAAAAAAAAAAATACAAAAAAAATTAGCTGGGCATGGTGGTGCGTGCCTGTAATCCCAGCTACTCAGGAGGCTGAGGCAGGAGAATTGCCTGAACCCAGGAGGTGGAGGTTGCGGTGAGCCAAGATCACGCCATTGCATTCCAGCCTGGGTAACATGAGTGAAACTCCATCTCAAAAAAAAAAAAAAAAAAAAGAAAGAAAGAAAGGTATTGTTGGGCAATTTCATCACTGTGTGAACATCACAGCATGTGCTTCCACAAACCTAGCAATAGCTATTGCTCCTAAGCTACAAACCTGTTCAGCATGTTTCTGTACTGAATACTGCAGGCAATTGTAAGACAATGGTAACTATTTGTGTATCTAAGCATATGGAAACATAGAATAGGGTAAAAATATGGTATAAAAATAAAAACAGTACACCTGTGTAAGGCACTTACATGAATGGAACTTGCAGGACAGGAAGTTGCTCTGGGTGAGTGGTGAGTGGATGTGAAGGTGTAGGACATTACCGTACACTTAGGGTACACTAAATTTATTTTGAAAATAAAACTAACTTTCTTCAATAATAAATTCACCTTAGCTAATTGTAAATTTTTCACTTTATAAGCTTTTTAAAATTTTTTATTATTTTGTCCTAGCATTTAGCTTAAAACACATAGTACAGCTGTATAAAAATATTTTTTCTTTATATCTTTAGTCCATAATCATTTCTTTTACTATTTAATTTTTTAAAAACTTTTTAAGCACTTAAAAAAAAAAAAAACTAAGAGACAAACAAATTAGCCTAGGACTGCACAAGGTCAGGATTGTCAATACTGCCAACTTCCATCTCCACATCGGGTCTCACTGCATTTCTCTCAGGAAAGAGAAAGAGGAGACTGAAACATATGTCCAACAAGCAAACCTTCCAAAAGGCTTCTTGAGGCTAGTGCCTGTCTTGTCCAACTAACAGCATTAACAGGACCTAACATGCTCTACAAGTCTGGGAGCCACTGAGAACAAAGAGCTGAGCACAAGTAGTAGCTCCAGAGAGAGCAAGAGATTACAAGCCCTGAAACAAAAAGAGTAAATCCCTGAACTTGGTAACTTACATGCACAAGTCCAGAGAATGCACAACCACAGAAAAGATTTGAGCCCCACAGAATCTCTAGGCAGGCTGATTAGGGCTGACTGGTGATTAGGTTTTTCCCCATATGAATCCAGTCCTTAGAGATTTACAGAAGTGACTCTTTATTTTACATGCATAGATCCCATCATAAAAGTTACAAGGCATATAAAGGAACAAGGAAACATGCCCCAATTAAAGAACAAACTAAATCTCCACATACTGATCCTAAAGTAACAGGCATATGAACTATCTCATATAGATTCAAAATAATCATCATAAATATGTTCAACAAGCTCAGGAAAAATAATATATGAACAAAATGAGAATGTCAACAGGAGACATAAAATAGAAACAAGAACCCAAAAGAAATTTTGGAGCTGAAGAATACAATAATTTAGTGGGAAAATTCACTAGAGTGGTTCAACAGCAGACTTGATCAAGCACAAGAAAAAAACAGTAAACTTCAACAAAGATCATTTGATAGTATCCAGTTAAAAGAGCAAAAGGAAAAAAATAATTAACAAAAGTAAAGAAAGTCGAGTGACAGAGGAGGAACCATCAAATGAATGAATATATGCAACAAATAAAAGTCATATATAACAGTCCACAGTTAACATTATAGTCAATGGTGAAAAGCTGAAGCTTTTATCCTCTATGATCAGGAACAAGACAAGGAGGCCCACTCTCACCATTTCTTTTCAAATAGTACTGGAAGTCCTAGGTAGAGCACCTTGGCAAGAAAAAGAAATAAAACACATCCAAATCAGAAAAGAAGACAAGAAATTACCTCTGCTCTCAGATTACATGAAAAGACATGCAGAAAACGTAAGTGCATATTACTAAGTGAAAGAAGCCAATTTTACCAAGCTATATACCATATAATTCCAATTATATGACATTTTGAAAAAGCAAAATTATGGGGATAGTAACAGGCTGTGGTTGTCAGGATTTAGGGAGTTAGGCAGAGCACAGAGTATTTTTAGGATACCAAAACTACTCTTCAGGCTATTGTAATGGTGGATACATGACATTATATGTTTGTCCAAGCCAATAGGCTCTACGACACCAAGACTGAACCTTAATGTAAGCAATTAGGTAATAATGATGACAATGATGTGATAGTAATGTGTCAGTGTAAGTTCATGAATTTTAACAAATGTGTAACTCTGATGAAGGACGTTGTTAATGGAGAAAGCTATGCATGTGTGGGGGCAGGGAGTATATGGGAAATCACTGCACTTTCTGTTCAATTTTGCCATGAACCTAAAAGTGCTCTAAAAAATAATGTATTAAATTTTAAAAATAGAATGTTTGAGATTAGAAAATATGAAAAAACTAAAACAAAACAAAAATAAATATCAAATGCAAGTGATACTGTCATAAAGACAGGCATAGAGACCAATGGAACAGAATCAAGAATCCATAAATAAACCTATGCATATATATAATCAAATGATTTTCAACAAGGGTGTCAAGATACACAATGAGGAATGGATAGTCATTTCAATAAATAGTTTTGAGAAAACTGGATATCCACATCAAAAAGAAGGAAACTGGACCCTTAGCTTACACTATACACAAAAATCAACTCAAGCTGGGTTAAAGACTTAAACATAAGACCTAAAATTATATATCTACTAGGAGAAAACATAGTGATCTCTTCAAGACATTGATCTAGGCAAAGATTTTATGGCTAAGACCTCAAAAGCACAGACAACAAAAACAAAACTAGACAAATGGGACTGTATTAAACTAAAAAGCTTCTGCACGGCAAAAGAAATAATCAACAAAGTGAAGAGGCAACCTGTTGAATAAGACAAAGTATTTACAAACTATTCATCCAGCAAGGGACTTATATCCAGAAGGTGCAAAAAACTCAACTCAACAAATACTAAATAACCCCATTTAAAAAGAGGCAAAAGACATAAATAGACATTTCTCAAAAGAAGACATACAAATAGCCAACAGGTATGCAAAAAATTGCTCAACATCACTAATCATCAGAGAAGTGAAAATTAAAACCACAATGAGACATCATCTTACCTCAGTTAGAATGGCTGTAATTAAAAAGACAAAAAATAACAGATGCTGTCAAGAATATAGCAAAAAGGGAACTTGTATATACTGCTGGTAGAAATGTAAATCAGTACAGCCACTATAGAAAGCAGTAGAGAAATTCTCAAAAAGCTAAATAAAACCACCATAATATCCAGCCCACTATCGGGTATTTACTCAAAAGAAAAGAAATCGATATATCAAAGGGACATACTGTGCTGTACTCCCATGTTTGTTGCAGCAACATTTCCAACAGCAAAAATATGGAATCAACCTAAGTGCCCAACAATAGATGAATGACTAAGAAAAAGGTGTCACACACACACACACACACACACACACACACACACACACAAACACTATTCAACCATGAAAAAGAATTAAATCATGTCATTTGCAGCAAAATGGATAGAACTGGAGATTATTACATTAAGTAAAATAAGCCAGGCACAGAAATACAAATCTCACATGTTCTCACTCTTACATGGGAGCTAAAATCAATCCCATGGAGGTAGAGAGTGGAAAGAAAAACACTAGAGACTAGGAAGGGTGTGTGGGTGGGAGAGGGGTGGGGAACGAAGAGAGGTTGGTTAACGGGTACAATCATATAGTTAGGCAGAAGAAATAAGTTCTAATGTTTGACAGCAGATTAGGGTGACTCTGGTTAACATCAATATATATTGTAGAATAGCTGGAAGAGAGGAGTTAAAATATACCCAACACACCAAAATAATAGACACTTGGGTAACAGAGATCTTGAATACTCTGACTTGATCATTACACATCCTACGGATTTAACAAAATTTCGCATGTACTCCATAACTATGCACAAATATAATGTATCAAAAAATTAAGAGAATAAACTATATATATGCATACGTATATTCATTTACTTCTGCATTTTAAAAAACTAAATGGTAATAGCACTGTTTTCATTTTCTCCACTTTATGCTTTTCAATAACATTATATCCTGAAGTTTACTCCATGTTAGCACATGAAGATATGCCTTCATTTCTCCCTCCCTCTCCCCAACCCCTTACACACAAATATCTACACTCACCCACCCATCAAACCCCACACAGATGAATAGTACTGTTTTATGTGTATACTATAATTTACACAACCAGACCTCTGTTAGTGAATGTTTGAGTTGTCTGCTGACTTTTGGTATTAAAAATAGTCCTGCTTAATAAACTCTTTGCCAAAAAAAATGACTTAAACATAAGACCTGAAACTATAAAACTTCTAGAAGAAAACACAGGGGAAAAGCTTCATAACATTGGCGTTGGCAGTGATTTCATGGATATGACCCCAAAAGCCTAAGCAACAAAAGCAAAAATAGGTAAATAGGACTATGTCAAACAAACAAACAAAAACTCCTGTGCAGCCAAGGAACAATCAGCAGAATAAAAAGACAATGCGTAAAACAGGAAAAGTTACTTGGAAACCACATACAGTCCATCAGTATCCATGAGTGATTGGTTTCAGGACCACATCACCCCATAAATACAAGTCCCTTATATAAAATGGACTAAAAGAAAACACAGTGACCTCTTCAAGAACAAGGTCTTCAAGAAGATCAATGCCTCCAAGAAAATCAATCCTCAGTCCCTTATATATAATGGTGGGGTATTTGCATGTAACCTACACACATCCATTAAGTAAGTCATCTATAGATTACTTACACCAGGGGTCCCCAAACCACAGCCCTGTACTAGTCATGGCCTATTAAGAACCAGGCTACACAGAAGGAGCTGAGCGGCAGCCAGGGACCTTTATAACCTGAGCTCTGCCTCCTCTCAGATCAGTGGTGGCATTAGACTATCACAGGAGTTCAAACCCTATTGTAAACTGTGCATGTGAGGGAGCTGTAATAGGCTGTGCACTCCTTATGACAATCTAACTAATGCCTTATGATCTGAGGTGGAATTGTTTTATCCTAAAACCATCCTCCCCCCACCCTACTAGTCGGTGAAAATATTATCTTCCATGAAAGCAGTCCCTGGTGCCAAAAAGGTTGAGGACTGCTGACTTATAATGCCTAATGCGACCTAAATGCTATGTAAATGGTAGTTATACTGTGTTGTTTTTATTTGCATTATTTTTATTGCTGTATTTTTTTTTCAAATATTTTTGATCTGTGGTTTGTTGAATCCATGGATGCCAAACCCATGGATACAGAGGGCTGACTATACCTGAGAAGATATTAATATCCAAAATTTATATAGAACACACATGACTCAATAGAAAAAAAACAAATACTTTGATTTTTTAAATGGGCTAAGGACTTGCATAGACATTACTCCAAAGAAGACATAACAAATGAACAGCAGGTATATGAAAAGATGCTCGACATCACTAATTATCAGGAAAACACAAATCAATGAGATAGTACTTCACATATAACCCTTAGGATGACATCATCAAAACAACAGAAAGAACCAATATTGGCAAGAATGTGGATAAATGAGAAGACTTGTGCACTGTTGGCGGGATGGTAAATGGTGCAGTGGCTATGGAAAAAAGTATGGAAGTTCCTCAAAAAAATTAAAACTGGAACTACCATATAATCTTGCAATCCTATTTCTGGATATTTATTTACAATAACCATACAAAAGAATAAAATACCTAAAAATACATCTAACCAAGAAGATGAAAGCTCTCTACAAAGAAAACTATACAACACTGCTGAAAAATATCACAAATGACACAAACAAATGGAAAAATGTTCCATGCTGATAGATTGAAATAATATTGTTAAAATGGCCATACCACCCAAAGCGATCTATAGATTCAACACTATTCCTATCAAATTAAAAACATAATTTTCACAGAATTAGACAAAACTACTGTAAAATTCATGTGGAACCAAAAAAGAGCCCAAAGAGCCAAGGCAATCCTAAGGAAAAAAAAAAAAAAATCCAGAGGCATTGCATCATTTGACTTTAAATAATACTATAAGGCTACAGTAACCAAAACAGCATGGACTTAATATCCAGGATTCATAAGGAACTTAAATCAATTAGGCAGAAAACATGAGCAGACACTTCTCAAAAGAAGACAGATAAGGGGCCCACAAACTTAAAAAATGCTCAACATCACTAATCATCAGAAAAATGTAAGATCAAAATTACGATGAGATACCATCTTACACCAGTTAGATGGTTATTATCAAAAAGTCAAAAAAATGACAGATGTTGGCAGGACTGTGGAGGAATATGAATGCTGGTAAATAGTAGGTGGAAATGTAAATTAGTTCAGCCACTGTGGAAAGCAGTTTGAAGAGTTCTCAAAGAATTTTAAATAGAACTATTATTTGACCAAGCAGTCTCATTATTAGGTATTTACCCAAAGGAAAATAATCATTCTACCAAAAAGACACATCCACCTAATGTTCATCACAGCACTATTCACAATAGGAAAACCATGTCATCAACCTAGATGCCTATCAATAGTGGACTGCATAAGAAAAATGTGGTACATACACACCATGGAATACTGTGCAGCCAAAATGAACAACAAAATCATGTCCTTTGCAGCAGCATGGACGCAGCTGGAGGCCACTATCCTCAGTAAACTAACGCAAAAACAGAAAACCAAATGCCACATGTTCTCACTTATAATTAGGAACTACACATTGAGTATACACAGACATAAAGATGGGAACAACAGACACCAGGAACTACTAGAGCAGGGAAGAAGGAAGGGAGGAGGGCAAGGGTTAAAAAACTGCTGAGGACTGGGCACAGTGGCTCACGTCTGTAATTCCAGCACTTTGGGAGGCCGAGGCAGGTGGATCACGAGGTCAAGAGATCGAGACCATCCCAGCCAACATGGTGAAACCCCGTCTCTGTTAAAAATACAAAAATTAGCTGGGCGTGGTGGCGCGTGCCTGTAGTTCTAGCTACTCAGGATTCTGAGGCAGGAGAATTGCTTGAACCTGGGAGGTGGAGACTGCAGTGAGCCGAGATTGCACCACCACACTCCAGCCTAGCAACAGAGCGAGACTCTATCTCAGAAAGCAAAAAAGGGCACTATGTTCAGTACCTCAGTGATGGGTTCAATCATACCCCAAACCTCAGCATCACACAACAAATATGCAGATGTACTCCCTGTATCTAAAATAAAAGTTGAAATAAATAAACAATAATTATTAAAAACAAAAGAACTGAAAATAGGATCTTCAAGAAATACGTACATTCCCATTTTTATTCCAGCATTATTCACACTAGCCAAGAGGTGGAAATGTCCATTGATGGATGAATGAAGAAAGAAAATGGGCTATATACACACCACGGAATATGATGCTTCCCTAAATAGGAAGGAAGCCCTGTCATCTGCTACAACACGGAGGAAGCCTGATAATACTATGCTAAGTAAATCAGTCACATAAGGACAAATACTGTATGCTTCCACTTATATGAGGTATCTATAAAATGGTCAAACTCACAAAGCCGAAAACACAGTGGTGGTTGCTAGGGGGTGGGGGAAGGAAAAAGGGAGACTTTCTGTTAAGTAGGTATAGGGTTTCAGTCACGCAAGATGAAAAGTTCTATGGAGATCCATTGTACCACAATGTGCGCATAGTCAACAATACTGTATTACACGTTTGTAAATTTGTTAACTGGGTAGATCTCTTGTTACATGTTTTTTTTTTGTCCCACAACTAAAAAAGTATTAAGTGTCTGATATAAAAAAATAGTTTTAAAAAATGGTATATTCATAAAAAGGCATACTACAAAGCCTATAAAAAGGGTTCTATAAATCTATATTTAGAGATGTAGGTAGATGTTCACGATATATTACAAAGTGAGATAATCAGGATATGAAAGAATATGTATAATGAAACACAATTTGTGTAGAAAAAAATCCCGTAGCCCCTTACAATGCTAGGCACACAGTAGGAACTCAATAAATATTTATTGATTTCATAAATTTCATTAATTTACCATACCAAAAATTGTTTAAATTCTAAGTTGTCTCAATTCTGTTCACTAACATGTTTTGTATTTATCATCCATGAATTTGTGAAGTCCTTTTTAAACATCCATTTGTAACCTCACTTGAGCGTTTTGGTGATGAGATACTTCACAACGATACCACCTGCTTTTATTTCCCCCAAGATTCAGAAGGATTTTTCCCTAATCCTAAAATTCTGAGATGCTTCACTAAGTCATTCAGCAACGCACAGGAGGCAGCAAGCAAGCACTGGCAAGAGAACAGATGATCAGCGCAAAACAGTGAGTCACACCTTTGGGAGTTTGGGGCAAACTGCCACTCTGTAGGGCAAAGAAGAAGATACACAGATTACCGACTCAAAGAAATAAAGTGTTAGAATAGCTAGCTCTGATCCTAGAATGATGACGTTTTTTATAAGAGAAAGTAAAAGTAAAAAGGGGACATTAGGAGGGGGCGGTCTGAAAAACCAGAAGTCATGGATCCAGTGTTTGTTCTACTGCTAACTGGTAATATGCTCTTAGGAAAATGATCAAATTATTTGTTTTCTTAGCTCTGAAATGACAGAGTTTGAATAGGCAATAGTTACGGAAGGTCCCAAGTTCCAAATTCCATGAGTTCTTTGAATGTTACATGCAAGTAATTCAAAATATATTTTGATACAATTTTGCTGATGTTTTCTACTAATTGCCTGCCTTTCGGATGTAGTTGCCATTTTTCCTAGTTCTTTGCATTTCCTTTTAGACTCAAACACACTCATCTCAGTTTGGCCTCTATATAAGATTAGCTCGTTTTTTTCCCTCTTCTTCAAGAAGAAAGGAATCTCAACATGTTTCTATTAAGAAGGCTTATCTGAAGCAATTCAATCCTGCATCAGGGGAAAACAATAGGCACTAAAACAGACACACACACAAGCTGTCTATGGCTCAGGAAATAATATGATTGTGAAGTTTTGAATAATGGAGAATAAAGCAGGAGTTGTTGTCCTGTCAAAAAATACTTATTTGCATAATAGCACAGTACAGCTGTCCAAGAAAACTGTGCCTCAGGAATGATATCATTATTATAAAATAACATCATTTACCATTTTAATTAAGCCAAATTATTTTAAATTACCCTCATGAAATAGATTTTTAGGCCTGCTTAAATCAAGAGCCAAATGTCATTGTCTGATAAAACATCTCCCAGAAATTAAAACTGATGTGAAGCTTTGGAACTCGTTAACCTGAGAGAAAATAGGAAGCGTATATTTATTAAGAATAAAATAATTACACAGTCATTTCTGGTAGCATGTAAGCTGTAACATGTCCTGTAATATCAATATTGTGGAAGATTTTCAATAAAAAATGGATTTTAGGGGTGAAATCTACATCTTCTCTCTTAAAACAGATGTTAGAATTTGTTTGGAGAAAACAGAAATAAAGAGCTGTGCCACACAGAGCCCATGCAGAAGAATCGTCTAGTATCGTCTATGCTCATAAAAATGTATCTTGTTCTTAAGGAATCTTAGACACATGAAATTCGATGCCTAGCACCAGCTTCAGAATCCTTAAGCAGCCACCTCCTGTCTCTCTACCTCATCCCAGAAGTATACACATTCTCTGTGACATCACCCTAAGCATCTCTTCCTGAAAAGTTCTCTCCTCTCCTACTATCCCAAACCCTGTGTGTTCCCTCTCAGTCCTCATTCTTGAAAATTCTTCACAATGCCAAATTTCATAAACATTTCTCCAATTACTCTTTTCTAAATGTATTTGATCTAATACCCCTAACAGGCCACTACATGACAGTCACATGTTGCTTACATGGGGAGACATTCTGAAAAACGCATCCTTAAGCAATTTCATCCTTGTGTGAACTTCATAGAGTATACTTCCACAAGCCTAGATGGCATAGCCTGTTATATAGCTAGGATATATGGTAGAGCCTTTTGCTCCTAGGCTATAGACCTGTACAGCATGTTACTGTACTGAATATGACAGGCAGTTGTAACACATGGTAAGTATTGGTGTATCTAAACACAGAAAAGATAAAAGAGAGTGCACCTGTATAGGGCATCTACCGTGAATGGAGTTTGCAGGACTGGGAGTTGTTCTGGGAGAGTAAGTAAGCAAGGGTGAGTGAATGTGAAGGCCTAGGACATTACTGTACACTGCTGTTGACTTCATAAACACCATGCACCTAGGCTACTAAATCCATTAAAAATACTTTTCTTTCTTCAACAGTAAATTAACCTTAATTTACTATAGCCTTTTCACTTTGTAAATGTTTTAATTTTTTTTAACATTTTGACTCTTTTGTAATAACACTTAGGTTAAAATAAACATATTGTACAGCTGTACAAAAAATTTTTCTTTCCATGTATGTTTGTTCTATAAGCTTCTTTATTTTTAAATATTTTTACCTTTTAAATCAAACAGTTTCAATAAGAACTAAGACACAAACACACATATTATCCTAGGCCTACACAGGGTTAGGATCGCCCGTATCACTGTCTTCCTTCTCCATATCTTGTCCCCCTGTAAGTTGTTCAGGAATAAGACATGCATGACACTGTCATCTCCTATGATAACAATGCCTTCTTCCGTAATGCCTCCTGAAAGACCTGAGACAGTTTTACACTTAACTTTTGTATACATTAATAGAAGGGATCCCAATTGTCCTCATTTAATCATTACATACAGGTATCAAAGTATCACATGTACACCCAAAATATGCACAACTATTATATCAATTTAAAAACCCAAAAAATATTTTAAAAAATAAAACGAAATAAAATAATGAAAACAGTATAGTATAGTGAATACATCAACCAGTAACATAGCTGTTCATTGTCATTATCTAGTATTAGGTAGTACATAATTGTATGTGCAATACTTTTATATGACTAGCAGTACAGTTGGTTTGTTTACACCAGCATCACCAGAAACACTTGAGTAATGCATTGAGATATGATACTTTGATGGCCACGTCATAGGCAATAGGAACTTTTAGCTCCATCATAATCTTATTGGACCACCGTCATATATACAGTCCATCACTGACGAAGATGTCATTATGTGGCATGAGACTGTATCTGCCTAACACAATTTTGATGCAATTATCTATTTCTTTCTGAAATTTTCTGTTTGTTCACTTCCCATTGCACCTAAAGCCCGGACCACTTGTCCTACCAGGCCAACCTCCCTCGCCTCATCCCCTACAGCTGTCCTGATCCACCGGGGATGGCCCAATCACATCAGATCTTCTATGGGTCTTAGAATATACCAAGTATGTTCTAGCCTTTGGATGTACTGCCTTTTCCTTGAACAATTCCCACCCACCCCCAGAAACCTTTATATGACTGACCTTCCCTCACCCAACCTCATCTAAATGTCATGTCCTCAGAGAAAACTTTTCTCAACGTATCCCTTCTGGAGAAGCCCACCTCCCATCTCTATCTCACTAGGCATCTTTAGTCTTCAGAACATTAGCGCCTTCTGAAATTATCTTGTTCAAATAGGTATTTGTTAATTTTTAGTCACCCCTCACTAGCATAGCAGCTCCACGAGAACAAAACTCTCAGTTTAGTTCTATGTTGATTATATCCCATGCATAGAACAATGCCTTTCAAAAAACAGAAACACAAAATGGATAAACAAATGAACAGGGATTTTTACTATTTCTTGCTTTAGATGCGTAGATCATAACACCAACTATCTTACCTCAGGCCTCTACAACAGTTAATACACTATCTGAAAAAACAGATAAATGCAAAAATGATTCTAAATAAGGATTCAGAAAGAGAACTCAAAATAATCAGTATGTGTCCAAATGCCCAAACAAATTCAGATTCACAAAACCATATTGCAAACCAATTCTCCTTTTCTTCTACGTGAATGATAAATCATTTAGACCAATAATTAAATAATTAAATGTAACTTTGTCTTACAAAATTTTACTTAGTAACAACTGGGAATAATTGTCTCCCATGTGTTTGTTATGCATTTGATGGTTTATGATGGTTTGTGACAAACGAACAAAAGCAGCAGCCTGTCTCACTTTCTGAGAAGCAGCAGTAAATTGAGTGTTCTGAGAAACCATCTCCTAGTACAGGAACATCAGAACTGCAACCAGGTATGTTTAAATGTTTTTATGGACTGTGATGCCATTAACATGGTATATATTTTTTTTAACTAAAAGAGGCAGAGTCACCAAATTAAGCTTTAAAGTAAAGATCAACAAGACCTCCATCATATTCACTGTCTTCAATGCTTAAGAAACACCTAGGTCCCAGGCATCTGAGATCCTGCTGTATTTAAAAAATGCTGCCCATTAAACATAATTTGTAACCCTCTCTATGGCTATTTTAAGGAAAATAAGATGTCCCATTTATTCCCAATGCAAAATAAAATATAAAAACTCTAAGTTCATCTAATAACTATGCATCTCCTTTCTCACATATTTTGGCCTGCCTTGCTTGGAAATCTACCACACTGTTACCCTGCTGGGGACACACACGACCCATAGATGCATGGTGTAGTGACTAGTGACTCCTGGGTTAACAGGACAAAACCTTACTAAGGACTCCCCCCAACGACTCGCCACATCTAGAAGATAAATGAGTTACCTCTGCCCTCTAGGTTAACTTCAAAATGTCTACATGGACGCAAACCTGTGCGTCTTTATTCATAAATCTCAGAATCTACTTTCCTGGTACTATTAACAGCACACTGGTGCAGAAACCACATGACGTCCAAGGAAAAAGAAGTTAATTTTATTGTATCCGTCACTGAAATCAAATGTGTTCAAATCACCCTTTGTAGAATACAAATAATAGTGACAGGAAAGGAGAATTTTTTATTTGCCCAAAAGGAATATGTCCTGTTTTAGCAATTATGAGTTCTTGATGAATCCCCTTCTTCCTCTAAGGAAGTGTTAACTAAATAATAAGAACAGATGCATAACTGTAGAAGAGGAACTTTACAATAGCCAAGAAACTATGTTGAGACCTTAAAAATGGAAAATTTAAAAATTAAAGACTTTTTTCCTCAAAATGTGCTTCACTTTAATCTGTGTGGTCATGTGATGGGGTCTACTGAGATCCCCTCCCTTTCCTCTGTCCTGACATGTACTGCTTTACTTATTTCCTTAAGCTTTCGTTCACTGCCACATTACCAAAGAATACATTACACATTATACTTCTATAAGCTTCTGGTAAATTTCCTTCCTTAGGTACTTCTAAAAAGAATATGAACTTAGTGCTTCCCAAATATCAGCACTTTCACTCAACATTACTGTAGAGTGAGGATACACTAACTAGAGCTCTCTCAAGTGTGTATAACAATAAATCCAAAAGAAACCTTAGTTTTTTTATATATAGTCCATGGAATACTACACAGCAATAAAAAATAATAAGATCATGTCCTTTTCAGGGACATGGATGAAGCTAGAGGCCATTATTCTTAGCAAACTAATGCAGGAACAGAAAACCAAATAACACATGTTCTCACTTGTAAGTGGGAGCTAAATGATGAGAACACATGGTCATATAGAGGGGAATAACACACACTAGGGCCTATCAGAGGGTTGAAGATGGGCTGAAGGATAGAATCAGGAAAAATAACTAACAGGTACTAGGCTCAATACCTGAGTGACAAAATAATCTGTACAACCAACACCTGTGACACAGTTTACCTATGTAACAAACCTGCGTATGTATTCCTGAACTTAAAATAAAAGTTAAAGAAATATAAACACACATATATTTTATCCATAGAAGAAAAAAGAAACCCTAGTTTTCTGAGAAACACTTAAAGCAAAACAGAGTGAAATCACATAGAGAATAATGTCTTTGAACACATATGCACTCTTAAGTCATCATAAGGAAAAATAAAACAGTTCTGTGCAGAGAAACCATGCTCTACCAATTAAATAGCTACTATAAGGTGATAAATTAGGAGAGAAAGAAAAATCAATTCACAAAATGTAAGTCATCATAAAAAGATTATCTACAAAGACTGAAAAATAATTGATTCCTTGTACAAATAAGTATGTTTGGTCAGGGATCTAAAAGAAAGAATTTTAACAGTTAAAATGTGTAGATACAATAAATATATATTTGAAGGGATAAACGTAAAGCTAGATATCTATTCTGTGATGTTTTAATATATAATCGAAAAGGGAAATATCAAAATCTGGAAATGTCACCATGATCTTTAACAATGAGAAATATTCAATGTTTAATTAAATTTTTAAAATCTCACAAGCCAGGGGAATGAGACACATAAATGAGAGTTGAAGCTCATCCTTGTCATGTGGAAACTAATGGATTTGGGGGAAAACAAGCAGACTGCCCTTTTCAAACAGTGGTTTCAGTGACCTAGAAGAAGGCTCAAGAATCACCAGGACTCTTTGCCTAAGGGCATCATTTAACAATGCCAGTATCACTAGAGAGACAACAAAAATTGTTTTAAAAAGAAAGAGAAAGAAAACAAAAAGCCCCCAAGCTAAATTATGATTCTCCTCTTCTGGAATATTGTCCACATTTCTAATTGACACTTACCAAAGTCTTAAGTAAGCAGAATGTATATCTGAAAAGCACAACTCAAATAATCAAGCAGCACTGTAACTGCAAAGGAACAGATTAAAACAAAACTAGACCCAAGACACATATGATCATGGATTATAAAAACAAAGAGTTGAATATGAATTAATTCTATGCTGTAAATTCTTAATGCAAAAGTATTGCATAACACAAAGGCAATTGTATGTAAGAAAGAATAAATATTTTAAATTAGAAAAACAACAAAAAAAAGAATTAATTCTAGATGTGGAAGTATCATCCCATTCTCTTACTGATAAGAATATTACCTAACCAATGTGGATATTTAATCAATGATAAAATAGGACTGAATGAGGCCATCGACCATTCCTGTGAGTTCAGAAAAGACCCCATTTGAATGACTGAAAGGAGCCACCTTTCATTTCCCAGAAGTCTCTTCTGCAATGTCACAGGTTCTATTCCTCTCTATTTCACTTATTAAAAGAATGAGCCATTTGGACCAATGGACCACGAGGACATTTAAACTTGTATTACTGATCTTCAAATTCTAAACTTCACTTTAAAAGAATCACACCACCACTTCCACAATCCCAACCAAATATCATAAAGGTATTGACACCTTCTAGAAAGTAATCATTAACTTTATCTGCTACTAACCATCAGAGAAAATTGTCAAAAATTAAAGTGACTGCATGAAACCATAAGGAATGAACTCACAAAGGTAGCAGAGGGCAAGAAAATTAATGTAATTTCAAATGCTGCCAAAAAACATTTTTCTTGATTAACATTCACCCCAAAAAAGGAAGCAATAGGCAATAACAGAAGAGTCATTTAATTTTTTCTTTTAAAGAAAAAAACGAAGGTAAGGATGGGGGAGAGAAGAGAAAGAGAGGGGAAGAGAAGATACCAGAACAGAAGGGGACAGGAAAGGGAAGGAAGAAAGAAGCACATGTCTGTAAGTCCTAACCTGAGAGTAAAACCATGGCTACCAATTTAAGAACTTTTACTTCTGTACTACCAGACTCATCTAGAATTTTCTTACATGCCTTTCCAAAGCATTATTTTTTGTCATAATTATACTTTTAGTCCATACATGAATATGTTATTGGTCATATTTTACCATTGTCCACCGGCTAAGACAACTATTCTTAGTATCTGCAGATGCAGATTTTTACAAATGCATTTTAGGTGAAAACTCGCTCCTTCTCAGTTGATCCAGTAATTATTCTTCTTGCTGTTCATGTGGAAGCAGGACTGAAAGACAGATCTCCCACTCAGATGCTGGGCTCTCTATCTCTAAGGATCCAGGTTCCAACCTCAAAAGAACACGAAGCACAGCACTATTGTTGAAGAAATGATAAAGATTGGAAGGGCTGAGAGAAGAAAAGAGCTTGTTCTAGGACAAATCTGATAGGCTCCACTTAATGCAGTTTTGAACACTGTGAAATCAGTGGTACCTCAAAAACATCATAAATCCGAGAGGGAAGCTTTCTACTAGAAGGAACTCAATATTTTTGTTTAGATTCATGTTCCATCTCCTTAAAAATATGTTGTGCCAGTTTGTGTCTGTGTTGCCTATCAAAACATGTGAATTCAAAATGGTCCACGTCGTGAAGATTCTTAGAGCTGCTTTACCAAAAACAGCTGCTGTGCAAGGTTCCCCATGACCCACCCTACTCTGCCCCACTGGCGTGAGGGGACTCATGAGTCAGAAGCCCCTGTATCAAGTCCCCTAACGACTATATTTAAAAACATGACTTAGAAAATTCTTTGCTGCCAGGCTGAACTGTAAATCTTTATTCAGGAATATGTATTAAGATTGCAGAATGGGTGTAAGACAATTGGCAGGGGGTGAAAGTGGGTTTGATTAAATGGATCTTTTATGGCCCTATGAACTATCGTTTACTTGAAAGCTTTTGAAAACTGAAAAGGTCATTTTGTTGCATTTCCCCATTTCTTGTTTTTAAAAGACCAGCAAATTCTAAACTTCACTTTAAAAGAATCACACCACCACTTCCACAATCCCAATGAATGGCTTGTGTTGAACTTTTATATTTGAATTACAGATTGTTGAACATAAAAAAAAAATTCTTTGCTGCCTATTCAAAGAAATCATAAATGTTTGAGGTTATGAATATCCCAGTCACCCAGATTTGATCATTATGCACTGTATGCTTGGATCAAAATATCACATGTACCCCACAAATATGTACAGCTATTGTGTATTCATAAAAAATTTAATGTAAAAAATTTTAATAGGAAAAAATAATGTTACTAAATCATTCCCTAACAATGGTGATTGAAAAGTGGAGACACCAAAATGGCAGGTGTACATGATCCCATACGTGCAAAATCATGTGTGGAAAGATGTGGATGTGTGTATGTTCACACACACACACACACACACACACACACACGCCTCGGTATATCCACGTATGTTTATGGTCTAAAGACAGATATCAGCCAACTCTAGGTAAAGGAAATTTCTGATACTTACTTTCTTATTTCTACTTTCTTGTATTATTTGAATTTTGTGCAACAAGAAACCATTATTACTTTGTGAATGCTAGCAAGCAAGAAATGATAACAGTCCCATAATCCCACATGGAGCACGTTAATTTAGTGTATCTTTGCAACTATTTCTCTTTGCCTCTCCTCTTACCTTTCCTGATTTATCTCACCTGGTCATGCCCCACCCCCCGCCCCACATGAGGAATGCCCACTCACACAAGTTTTAGCAAAATATTTTATTTGCCCTTTTGCGTCCTTATAATTGTGCTCAGTTTACCATTAGCAAATGTTCTGCCTTTGCATTTACAGACCTTCTGTGTCTTCGGCTGCTCATCTTTGCTAGTACAGCACAGAGCACACAGACGCCTTAAGTGGTGTTTACTGGGTTTACAATCCAGCAGCAATTTAAAATTAAGGAAGCATGTCCTAGAGGCACAGGTCATAAATCTGATTTGGTTTGTAGACTTGGGTAAAACAGGAGCCCGGGGTGAAAGAATGCAACCCAATAAAGTAGCTTCCAAAGAGGCCATTTGGTACTGTGGAAAGAAGCGTTAGAGTCACCTGCATAGAAGCTCTGCAATTCTAATGTTTGCTGTGCCACTTTCAGTGTCTCAAGCTGAAACAGCCAGCATGGCCTTTGGTTAAACAATACGTGCCTCAACTTACTCATCTGTAAAAGGGTGATAATGAA